CGATTATTCCTTAAATTACTTTAATTGACCTATAACTATTAAATTTTTATTCTAGAATTACTGATAGTTTCGAAACCTTTTCAAATACATGTCGGTCTTATTAGAAACCCTACCATAAAATGAGATTTTGCAAATGTCCCGATTGCTTTCAATGTCAAATATTCACTGCCACACATTGGTCCACAACGCTGTGTATCGTACAGTAACGTTTCGCCACAATTCACAGGACCCAATTTCAGATCCATTTTGTGGGTGGTGATGAGGTCTAGGCGAGGTAGAAGTAACAGTCCAGTACGGAGGAGAAATACTTCAGGCGGCAAAACTTCGTGGAGGCTTCGGCAGCCTGAGGCGTGTTTATAGCATTATAGGAAAATTGATTCCACCATCAATCCTTTCTTCACATTAATCCACACAATTTTGACAAAGTTTTTAGATAATATTTCTCTCTTTTACCCTTACCTTTTGTCTTACCTACCCTGGCGCCTTGGTCAGGTGTAAACTGCGGGAGCAATGCCACGAGATTGCGAACAGTCCATATGCTGGAGGCGAGTTCTTAGTGACACCATCAAATGACCTCTACCTACAGGCGTCCTCTGGCATCGGTCAGGCAGAAGGAAGAGGCGACTTTACGTGGTGGTTGGAGCTTATCGACAGCGACGATGTAGCCAAACCCGTCACTGAAGCCTCTATGCAGAAGGTCTCTCTGGGTGAGCCGTAATTGGTGTCGGGAAAAATAACCCAATTGAACAATTAATCCAGAAGGAAATACAGATTCGTTTTTCGCCATTTCATATGTCCAATATACAATGCATCCAATAAGTCCGATATATATATATATACGTTTCATATAGTTCTTATAAAGACCACATATTTATATATTAACAGGCTAGAAAAACCACTTTGGTCCCGGCAACACCGCTAGGAAGCAAAAGGTGCTTCGAAGAGACAACATTTTTTATGCTAAGGCGGAGTGTTTGATAATATAAAAGACGAAATTTTTAGTCTAGCTTTAAATTCGCATCACTAACAATGTAAATGTTTCTGGGTATATGCTATGTGATGCTCAAAATGTTAACACACCTTTATCCAATCGAATATGCCAAAAATTGTAGGAGAGCTTGAAAAGGGCATAGTCTTTTACTGGAACTTTTCGAGATTGCTTAGAAGACTTCGTCAACGCAAATGTCTCAACAGAATATAACAACTAAAGATCATAGCTATTAAGAAAGGATTGGTTAAGAAGAATAACTTAATACTATGTGTGTCGAATTTTCCTTTCCAAGTAAAAGTAGGCTGTTATAGAGACTTCCATTTAATATGAAAGTGGATGATACGCTTTCATGCTCTCTCTCAAACAAAATGGGAGTCTCTAGAGTAAAGTTATCTCAGGAGATTAATCGAAACTTGCTCTTGCTTGCTATAAGAAATCAAGTTGGAAGGGATACGTTGACAAGTGTTTAGAGGTTCATTTGTGTGTATAATGTGTACATATAAATAGGAGAGCCATAAAAGAATTTAAGAGCCACCAAGCCTCATCATTCTTCTGTTCCTTCTCTCTTTCCTTCACACTCAAAGCTTATCCCAAAGCGACAAATAATTCTCACCCCTATTCTGGATGTCAGAGCTTTTGGTTATTTCTTTAGGACTGGTAGTAGAATTTTACTACAATGATGTGATTAGGCCTCATTCTTCCATTAAAGTTCACATGAATTTGCTTCCCAGAAAGTTTTCCTATCCATAGTGGACTGCAGTTTCGACCTCGCAAAGGTCTCAACAGTACCCCCAGCGGGACTCGCACCGCGCTAATCCAACGTATAATCTCGATCCCTTAACCACTGCGCCACACTTCCACTAATGAACTTGGGTTAGAGGACAGAAGATAATTTTAAGGGAACCTAGGCCTTTCCCATATCGCCTTTCTGTAGTGAGATTGTCGACGAAGCAATATTATATTTGCTACATTATTAATATGCATTGCTTATTTTCCGTTTCATAAGTATCTTTTCGAGACTACCAGTAGGTCCAATATAAGTGTTTTCACCATATTTCGTTAAAGGTAACTAAGGATTCCCAGTTAAAACTAACAATGGGTAATTTAGTCTATTGCTATAGCATCTAAAATGTTGCTCCATCGACAATCCCACCACAGAAGTATAATATGGGAAAGGCTTAGGCTTTCTTGAAATTAACTTCTTCCTCTGACCCAAGTAAACCCGGACAGTTTGGTGTAGTAGTACATTGTACTAGCACGATTCAAGTCTGGCCAGGGGTATTGGTGAAACTTGGGCGGGGCCGAAACCTTAGTCCACTTTTGACGATAATAGATTTTGGAAATCGAAACTATGTGAAATACTATGAAAACGTGAGGCACACTCCTATCACAGGGTTAAAAAAATTCACCATACAGTCCTTCATCGCTTTAACGAAATTGGTTGATAAATTTTCGTACATACGATCTACTGATAATCT